CACTCACACCCAGTTCTCAGGAAGTGTTGTTGCTGTGTTTTGGAGGGAAAGTGTTCAGTTCTGTGGTGATGAGTAATAAACGAGCAGTGTTTATCAAGAGCTCTCGTGTCGTCTGTGTTTACCTCCACAATATATAATTTCTCCACAAGCGCTAACTTGCAATACCCACAGTGACCACTTGGAAAACTTTTTTAGCACATGTGAGTGAGATTAACCTGCTCTACATCTACAGTAAAGGGATAAAAACGGAAATATCTAACAAAAACTCTTGTTCTGTTAGTCCGGTTAGCTGATCAGATGCTTCTGACTGTTTTCTGCTTTAAATTGAAACTCAGAGAGCATTCTCCAAACTGTGGAACAGCATTCCCCTCCCACTCAAATCTGCTCCATCCAGGCTGGACTGGACTTAAAACTCATTTTTACTCACTGGCATTTGAATCGGACTTGCTCATTGTGTCTTCACTCACTTTTTCAGCTTCATGTGTTTAGCACCTACTAAAATGTAAATGGTAAATGGCCTGTATTTGTATAGCGTGGATGACTGGTTGTGTAAAGCGCTTTGGGGTCCCCAAGGTCCCTAAGGACCCCAAAGCGCTTTACACAACCAGTCATCCACCCATTCACACACACATTCACACACTGGTGATAGCAAGCTAGATTGTAACCACAGCCACCCTGGGGCGCACTAATAGAGGCAAGTATGTATTTTAGTCATTTCTTATCCAAAGGAAAGGATTTACACGTGCTTAAATTGCTTTATTTTAGCATTATGCAATTCTGTTGTTCCAACTTAATGTACTTGAGTTGAACCAACTTAATTCATTAATTGTGAATTAACTTATATACTGCAGTTGAGTCCAATTTGATTAAATTGAGTTGATCCAACCTTTCCAAATTAGAGTAGTCCTGCAAAAGTACTTAATGCTAAGAGAAAGCCATTTATAAATGTCAAAATACCTTTCTGTGATTATTTTAAAGTTCATTTAAAGAGTTATTTCTTGGAGTGTCTAGAGTCTAGAGTCTGATTAACATAAAACCTGTGTAGACATTGCTTTTTTAAATAACAAAATGTACATAGCTGTCACTCCAGCCACTTGTCCTTATCAGGCTCACAGGGGGGCGAAGGGGGCTGGAGTCTATCCCAGGTGTTATAGGGCAAGGTTTAAGCTGGACAAGTCTAACACAGCTTGGACAATTTAGAAAAATCAATTAATCTAACCCCACTAAGCACATGTTTGTTATGTGGGAGGAAGGCAGAGTACCCAGAGTGAACCCACAGGGAGAGCATGCAATCTCCACACAGTTGGTGGATTTGAACTCAGGACCTTGCTGTGAGGCAGCAATGGTAACCACCAAAATGTCATTCAGAAACAATATGACTGCAAGGCTTGATGCAGAATTTTCTTTACATTTTTGTCTTTCACAGGTTAAACCGCAACAAAGAACAATAGCATACATGTGGTGTGTGTATGGTTTTCTGCCACATCCAACCCCAGTGATTTTCCTGATACAACTACTACGAGTTGACAAGTATTAAAACTACATTAAGAGTATGAATATAATTTATAGTAAGTGAGCACATGTGGCACAGGTAATACTTTATGAGAAAACTTGACACAACATATATTTTTTCTAATACAAAAAACTGCATTATGCATACAAAACTAGTGAGAATAAAATAAATAATAAAGCAACAACTTGCACGACTAGGCTGCATGTAATGGCATGTTATATAAAATCTTAAAATACAATTAACAAATTCTTCATCTGGTAATTGAAAAATTTTAAGATGCATTTTTCTTGGATGTTCAAAATTAAAGAGGAAAAGGAAATAATCTACAGTGCCACTGCTGAAGTGTGGCTTTATTGAGTTTAAGAAAAACAGATGTGTGTACACTCAAAGCTTTAGTACCATGTGACCTCAGTTGTGGCTTGGGTTACAGAAGCACCATAAGGTTGTTAAAGATTGATGAATACATTGTTTGACTGGCCACTGCCTGGCAAGACAGCACGATGTAGGCTAATATCTGGTGTCTCAGTCCTCCGAGAGCCAATATTTATAGTAAGCAATTCTCCTTTCCATTAACGAGAGCAGCGTTGGAGTGCTGAGGGTGCTGAGGAAACGGGGTCGGGAAGTGTATGAAGTCATCACATACTGCCTGGGTTTAAGAGTTGAAAATAACATGCTAAAAAAGCTTCTCATGTCAGAACTATGGAAGCTAATTTCCACCAGTAACAAAACAATAATAATAATAATTTTTCCATTAAAAACTATAATTGTTTTTTTTTAACTGTGCATGTTACACAGTAGAAAAGTACACCAATTTAAACTGATACAAAACTGGAATACGTTCAGGTATTGAACAAACTTTAAATTTTGTTGTGAGCAAAGCACAATCCATATGTTGTGACTGTTTCACTTAATTTTTATGCACGCCCTCCTGAATACAGATTATGTGTGCTTGAGTCCGACTCCTCCAAAGACACCCAGGCACAGTACAATATAAGTATGACATCAAAGGAAAAGAATAGTAAAATTAGGACTTTATTTCAGTTTTTCAATTTAAATGAAGTGTAAAAGGTCGTAAATATTCATACACTCTTTAAAGTTCGTGATTAATTTGATCTTTTTTCACTTACTGGCAGAAATGAGTTTCCATAGAAGAACTTTTAATCTCAAATCTTGAGATTAAACTTTATTCATCTTCTTTGAATAAATAAAGTGTTTTTTCAGTGTGCCCTCTCTGAAGGTTGCAGGTTGAGTTGGTCACCCTGTTTTCCACTAGTATCAGATTGATCATCTTTCCATTAGCCTCGTCCATGGAGTCCAATGTTCCAAAGCATCAACGGCTGATTAAAAGCCGGGACGACTCCCCAACCTCTATATCTCTGTCCCTCTTACCACCGCTCAGCAGAAAAATTTAGCTGAGTCACCTTTGCTGTCACAAACGTAAATTCACCGTGCAGACCTTCAAGACAGCCAACCCCCTCTCTCGAAGTCTTCCCACTCTCCAGAGGACTGAAAGTAAGAGACACAGACCTGTTTAGATTGTTCGTTTTATGCTAAGCTTGGAATAATTTCTCCCTCCCAGACGGGCACAGTCTAGTTGACCAATAGCTCCAATTAGCATATGTGTTGCCATGTAGAGTGTCTATCCTTGGAGGGTCTTTCAAGGTTAGTCTTTGCTAAGGAGATAGAAGTTACAGAGCTGTGCTTTTTCTTTTTTTCCCTCTAATTTTCACACAGCTTCCTCTGCCATATTATCTGTTGCTGTACATCTGTTCCTGCTGTTTTTGTCTTCCTTTTAAATTTTGCTGTTACGCTTCAGCAAAATCTCAAGGAAAGTGTTTGTATAGTGGGAATCGCTGTCTACGTCTTCAGCATTTATTGCATTCTACCCATTGGCTTACACCTTGTATGTTCATCAGCATTTCCTCTTAGGGACTGCTCCTTTCCACTCTACACTAAACTCTAGCTACCTTTGTAGATGTCAAAACCTCCATGGATTAAAGATTTAGAAAAGACAGTCTTGATTGCCTGTGAAGCTGTAGTTTTAAAAATATTTCTTTTACAACAAAGTTTTATTTATTTTATTTGCAGAGGGGGTTTGTTGTTGTTGTTTTTGGAATACCCAGAGTGACCACTTGGAAAACTTTCTAGCATATGTGAGTGAGATTAACCTGCTCTACATCTACAGTAAAGGAATAGAAAAGGTAATCTTCTCTAACGAAAACTCTTTGTCTGTTCGTCCGGTTAGCTGATCAGATGCTTCTGACTGTTTTCCGCTTTAAATTGAAACTCAGAGAGCATTCTCCAAACTGTGGAACAGCATTCCCCTCCCAGTCAAATCTGCTCCATCCAGCCTGGACTGGACTTAAAACTCATTTTTACTCACTGGCATTTGAATTGGACTTGCTCATTGTGTCTTCACTCACTTTTTCAGCTTCATGTATTTAGCACCTACTAAAATGCATTTAAGTCATTTCGTATCTATTCCCTTTTGTGCTTTTTGCTTTTTGTTTGTTTGTTTGTTTGTTTGTTTAAATCTATTTTGTCTTTTGAACAGGGTTTTGGTGCCGGTTGTTAACAATGTGTTAAAAATGTGCTTTATAAATACATTAAGTTGAGTTTGAGTCGAGTAATCTAGCCTTAACTGCGAGTGAAATATACGTAGAAACATTTCATTTGTTTGAAGTTCAACATTAGTTAACTTAGCTAACTGAGCAGCCTTGTGTGTGTCGAGCTCTACTGGCCATGATGTGAACAAGTCAAGTGCGCACAGGCAGAAGTCACAGTTGGGACACCAGCAGTTGACTTGTTAGCTTAGGAGTTAATAGTTAACATTTTATAACCAGTCAACTTGGGCATTGTTAGTGAAGTCAACATGGTTTCTGCCATTTCTAGAATAACTTTAACTGTGTTTTTGCAAGGCTGTCAGATGATGCTTGCAAGTTTGCAAGTTTTGCCTGCCTGGCCCTGATTATTTTTGTTGATTTATTCCTTGGGATGACTCACATTTAGCTTCGGGTCTTTGGTCTTGATGTATTCTTCTTGCATGGATGGCCACTACCGTGTAGTTAGTGAGAAAGCTTTACCTGGGGGACGTTCTGACAGAAAGTCTTCTCATGTTCACTGTCACAATAGTTCCAAGTCCAGATGACACGATCAGTACTCGACCAGTTGCTGGCAAGTTTATTACTAGACTTTCTGTTGTGTCTCAAGCGAGAGCAAGTAAATGGAAAAAGATAACAATAAGCACTAAAAGATTCATTGCTATCTCTTAAAAGGAAGCAAAAAAACGACAGTAACGTGCTGTGTATCCTTACAGGTGCAAGTTTATCTCTACATGGGTCTGAGCTCCAGCACCAGAGCCTCCGCCGACACAGAGTCCAACTGCAGCCCTGGGCCTCTGGCTACCGGGCAGCAGACAGACCTCTCACCTTCCCCTCCTGTGGGGAAGAAGACATCATGGAGGAATCTTTGGCCACAGCCCCAGATTCCAGCACTCAAGATGATGTGCCTCCACTGGGTGAGCACCACCAGCTGCAACTACATTTATGTTGACTTCGCTCAGCTTATTTTCTCTCAGCAAGTTTAGCTGACAGCATTGTGGTCTTTCTAATGAATACCTTTACATCAGCTAATAAAAGGCCATCACTGCTCAGAGAAACTTTTTCAGACTTGTGCGCAGGTTGTTGGCATTTTCAATTACTGTATTTAGAGTCTTTCCCCTATACCTGATATAAAAATACAATAGTCCTCTCTGCTCTCTGCTCTCTGCCAACATACTTGCTTTTTGTGACAACACAGATTAATTAAAGGAGTTAGATACAGTACAGAGCATCGTGAAAGAATCAAAAGCCATTTGAATTGGAATTTAATTTAAAGTCCCTTTCCTCTCATACAAGCTCTTGAATAATCAGCTCCTGTTGTGTCTGAAGATGCCACTTGTGGTTTCTATAGTTCTTAAAAGTAGAATTTGAAGCAGAGCTGATTCTATCCTGGAGAAAATCTTCTAACACTACGATTGTGTTGATTTTTTTGAGCTTTTTAGCTCATTGTTTTGGATTTTTATAGCTAAAAATAATAAGGGATGAAAAGGTTTTCTTTAGCTGTCTTATGATTGCTCAGTTATTGAATAAGAACAGATGAAGAGTCAGCATTTTTACTGGATTAAAAGTTAGTCAGCTTGGATTCTATTCACTTTTCGATTTACTCTACAGTTGTGAAGGATGTTAACGTGCTTCTTGAACGAGAAAGGTCAGATGGCATCAGCAGCCCGTCCAGAGACGACGACTCCACTCTGCAGAACCAGGGCACCCACAGCAGCATCCTTGATGACAACACAAAGTCCAGTGCAGGTCTCCCAGAGGTCAGCGGTGAAAATAAACAAATCACCGACAGCCAAATGTTTGCTTATTCATCCATCCATCGTCAATAATAGATGATAACTGAGTCAAAACAGCAGAGATAACGGTTCCTCTAAATGGCCAGTTGCTATTCTTTGCTGACTCTCTTTATCTGCGTGTCCTCAGGGGAGGAGTAAGTCCAGTGGCCTTTGCTTCAGTGATGGAAAGAGCCGCATCGATTACATCCTGGTCTACAGGAAATCCAGTTCACAGTCAGAGAAAAGGGAAGTATTTGAACGGAACATCCGTGCAGAGGGCCTGCACATGGAAAAGGAGGTAAAATAGCTGGCTTGCACAGTGTTTGTTAACCATTCACTAATCCTTTCTAGTATTTTGCGCTTTGCAGGTAAAACAGTTTCTAAGAGCTTTTCCTTTTCTTTTTTTTGACAGCAATAATAAAAGCAATGTGACCTAAATTATTCTGAAGCATCTCCTTGTGGTTCGCAAAATCCAAACAATAGACCCAGTCAATGAATGAGGCAAACTTTGGATTATAAATCATTTATGATATACCGTATTTTTAACTTTGTTTTGGAGGTCAGCAATGTAGCACTCAATTCGTTCTTCGGCCATATATTTATTGCTCAAGAGCAATTCTTATAATCACAGGACATTAGCAAAGCAAACGTAGTCCAGTTCTTTAAAAAGCGATGACTCCAAAGTAAACGAGAAGCTCGATAGTTTCCGGTGCTGACGGAGAACCGGCTTCTTCAGCCAACCTGCAATTGCATTTATTGTGAGTCTCGCTCAACAGCGATACCATTTTATGTGAGGAAGTTATTTAATGCACAGCCCTATTATGCATGTAATCTAAATGGCCGAAGTGCTGAATTTTAAAATGCTCAAAGCCTTTGTGCCAGGTCTGACAGCTGGGGGCTGTCGAGACGTTCAGCGCTCGTAGAGCAAAATCAAATGTGCCGATCGCAATTTTCTCTGCTGCTGCTTCTCACTGAGCAAAAGTGTCACTTGATAGAATGGAGAAGGTGGATGTTGTGATGCTGTGTGTTAACCTCAGCTCTGTTTGCTGATGCTGTACCGCCAAGGTCGTCATTATCTAGAGTGCGCAGCGGAAGGCGACGGTTGTTGTCTCCTTCAACCTTCAGCCCACTTGTGGGTATTTCTTGCATGGAGTCATTTAGTTATTTTTAGGTCTCTGCAGTTAGCTTCTGATTCATGTACCCTTAGACAGACTCCTACACAGTCAGGAAGTACAAACAGGTGAGGAAAAGAGCAGATGCTCAACAGCCTGCAGTGAGATATTTTGTAGCTCTTCACTTTAAAAAATAAATTCTGCTTTATATATATATATACATATTATAAAACGGTATAGTATATTTATGTGTGTTTGACTTCATTACAGGCCTCGTTAACAAACAGTGATGTGATCTTCTTGAAGCTTCATGCACCGTGGGATGTTCTCTGTCGCTATGCAGAGCTCATGAACATTCGCATGCCTTTCAGGTTAGACAAAACTTCTAATGATGCTAATGTGAAAATAATTAAAGCTGCCCTGTCGAATTTTCTTGTACACAAACAGAAGTTATTTGCATGTAGTGTAATGTAACCCCAACAGATCACTGAGCCTGATTCTTCCAGGTGTTTCTTCCTGTAAAAATTGAGTTTTTCCTTCCCAGTTTCACCAAGTGCTCCCTCATTTAGGGTCTTTACTCTACAATATAAAGCACCCTGAGGTGACTGTGCACTCTATAAATATAATATTTAATAATTACTATTCAAACATACATGAAAATACAGTTGGCTGCCCTGTTCCATTTCTGTCTAGATGATGCCCCACTGTTTTAACACGATAATATAAAATCACCAATAAAAACAGCACTTAACACTTAATGAGATCCATTAGCTGAAAGTTGTAGCTTATTTCTATAAAAATATCTTAAAACCCAGTGCACACAGTAATTTTAAGCTCTGTGGAATTTATTGCACTGTTGAATAGATGGAAGCCCAAATTGGTTGTAAGGTTGTATTTATTTATTTAATGAATTAATTATCAAGTGATAGCATCCTGAATGAATTTCTTCTTCTCTTCTCATCAACATTCCGTTTTCCAGGAGGAAAATCTTCTACATGCACCGACGGCACAAGTTTATGAGCAGGTGAGTGTCCATGGCAACGTGTAAGTGGACTAAGCAAACCCCCACTGCTGCAGCTTCAACAGAAGCTTCTCTTGCAGGATGGAGAAGCGCATCAACAAATTCCGCGGCTGGCTTCCCCGCAAGCCCATGAAGTTCGACAATGACAGGCTGCCTGACCTGGAGGAGAACGAGAGCTTTACCGCCCCCTTCAGTCGATCGAGGATCCATCAGTGAGTTGTTGAGGAATGCTCCACCCCGAGAGACTTTTTGAACTTAATCTTACACCGCCAGCTGGTGCATTTCCATTCCCTCTTTTGTACTTTAGCCTCTTATATGCAAATTGGTGCACAGTGTAAAACACACTTTTGCACCTACATATGTGCACGCATATACAAAAAACCTATCAGTCAGAGCAGACAGACTTGTTCTAACCAGTTTGTTTCACTCCAGTTTCATCATCCACAACAAAGATACATTTTTCAACAACGCCACCAGAAGTCGCATCATTCACCACATCCTCCAGCGGGTCAAATATGAGGAGGGGAAAACTAAGATGGGTAAGATTCTGTAGAATTAATGAAAATTACCAAAAAATAAATTTAAAAAAATACATATCAATGCACAAAATGCACCAGAATATTATTGTATATAAGCACCGTATATTTGACTAAGAAATCCATTTGGTTTCCATTCTTTGTTACACTTTAAGCTTATGTGTAAGTTTTCAGACTTTAAATATGGTTTTATCACATTTTAATATTACTATTTCCTCTTTATCAATGCCTTTTTATAAAAATAAAAAAATAAAAAAAATAAAAACAGACAGTCCTATCTGATGCATATTAATCCAAGGCCCATAAAAAATGGCAGCTCATGCTGTCTCAAAAACTCCGGATGAATTCTCAAAATCCTTTTATGACAGACTTACAGGCATTTCTCCTGATTTTATCCCAGTGGTTAGTTGTGGCATTACATCAACAACAATGAAAAAATCCTCTTTAGCTCAAACGGTGTTTCTGCAGGGACCAGAATTTCAGCCGATATCTCTAAAACACCCCCAGCTGCAAAATTTTGACTCAATTTTTATGAGGTTTTTAATGAATGTGTTTGCATGAAACCCCGTCTTCTCATGCAAGGCTTGATTTGATTATGCATTCACACGGTAAATTCTAAATGTGAACGCGGAAACGGTATGGCTCCACCTGACTTCACTCCTTTAATGATTCTCTTTCTTTCTTTTATTTATTTATTAATTTTTTTGCAGGGCTTAATCGTCTTTTGAGCAATAATTCATACGAGGCAGCTTTCCCCCTTCATGAGGTAATTTGGCTGCTAGAAACCTTTCACTCATTCATTTCCACCACCTGTTTTGAAGTAGTTCTTTGCTGTGATATTATACCACACATAGAGATCATGTCTATGTGTACATAAGCATATATATGCATGCTTTAACAGGGGAGCTACCACAGCAAAAACTCCATCAGAACGCACGGAGCAGACAACCATCGGCACCTCTTGTACGAGTGCTGGGCTTGGTGGGGGGTTTGGTACAAGTACCAACCGCTGGATCTAGTCAGGTAACTACATGCACACAATTAGATCTGAAACTATATTGACATGAAAACATCATCATCATCAGGTAGCGATAGCTGAAATATCTTTACATAAAATTTAGTTAAGACATCATGATGTGTTGTGTAGCTTTTACCACATACAGGTGTAGTTTCGAGGCCATTCTGAGGGAACAAACTTTTTTTTTCTCATTCCGCTTGCGCTCGGCTGTTGTTCCAGGAGGTATTTTGGAGAGAAGATCGGACTGTACTTCGCCTGGCTCGGCTGGTACACGGGGATGCTGTTTCCTGCAGCTCTAGTTGGCCTGCTGGTATTTCTGTACGGGCTTTTCACTCTGGAGCACTGCCAGGTCAGGTAAAGACACCTCCTCTCTGTAGTGATAAACATGTGTGTCCTGCTATTCTTTATTCTGAGCGTCTACAGAAGAAGATGCATTATTTTCTTCAAACTGCTGCATCTTTCCACGAATCCTCGTGTGCAGAGCAGACTAAACGTTAAATTATTTTTACATACATTTGGATACATTTAGCTCTATAATGTGTTGAAAATGTTTCTATTTCAGTCAAAGACTGTTGCATATAATTTAATGTTTGCTTGATGCATGAAGATTAAAACTAACAAGTTTTAAAAAGAGACTTTTTCATTTCATTCAATTTTATGTGATGATTATGCAAAAAAAAACTAGAATTGGGCTGAAAGGTCTGTTGCTTTATTACGTATTCAGGTTGTGTAGCATGTAAATAAGTAATAAGTAACTAATTACTTTTGAAAATAAGTCATCAGTAAAGTAACAGGATTTCTTTCTTGGAGAAGTAATCAGTAATTAACAACTAATTGCTTTTTTCAAGTAGCTTGATCAACACTGCTCCTAAGGTATTTGCTGTCTCTCTCAGTCACCACTAAAATGAATTTTGAGCCTCTTTGTTTAAACTATATATACGTTTATGTTTACAAAAACTTCAATCATATCCTGGCTGTTTGATTTAAAATCCACTGCAGTGATAATACGGAGGCAAAAAATGTGTGTTTGTCCAACAGATTATGGAGCTAACTGTAATTTGCAATTTGAGATGAGGCAACAGAGTGTGAAATTGTCCCCTGTACGTGATTATACTGGATGCTGCTTAACTGAAACAGAAAATCAAACGTGCGCAGGCTTCTCTGGCTGAAAAATCCCACACAGAAGCAAATGTTCTCTGTAATGACTTTTCTTAAGAACATAACTTCATTTACCTGAACAGAGATCACACACACTTACGTTTTGCACTTGTATTTTTTAAGAGAACTCAGACTTGTGTTAGTCTGGGTTTTTCTGTGACTTTGTCTCTTGCTGGATGTTATAATTCTTGTCCTACTTGAATGCTTTGGTCGTTTGTTTGTCGTCGTCCAGCAAAGAAATCTGCCAGGCCAACGACATCATCATGTGCCCCATCTGTGACCAGTACTGCCCCTACCTGAGACTGTCAGACAGCTGCATCTACGCCAAGGTACATGAAAAGGGGGACGAAATGTTCCCAGCAGCTGATACTTGTGATAGTAGCCGATCTCAGTGTTAGTTAAATAAATATGTGTTAAGAAGCTGTCTATCACTAAATGAGTCCAGTAGGATTGAAATATTTGTATATTTGAAGTATCATCAAAAAGAGATTAATGAGGGTATGCTTTGGGGTAGCCCTATGTTTTGATTCACAAGCTAGCAGTTCATGAATGAATGCAGTGTCCTCAGTTTCTCACCCTTCAATCATCTCATCCTACTGGGAAACACTGTGATGAAAATGACATTTTTATCATCCAAAAGTATTCTTAGGAACATACTAACTGCACATAAACTGGCACTAAAATCTTTGACATTTATGCATCTCATTGAATCAGGTGTGTAGATTTTTCCTAAATTTGCTTTTTGACATAAAAATGTGTGATCTTGTCTTCATTTTAAGGTCACCCATCTATTCGACAACGGGGCCACTGTTTTCTTTGCTGTGTTCATGGCTGTGTGGGGTAAGTTGACATTGAACTTTGGAAAAATGCAGCAGGGAAACACATAACAATGAGGTTCGCACAGTGCTGTGCTGCTGCACTGTCTGATAACCTCTTCTGATGTTTTCTAAAAGATAGAGATTACTGTGCAAAAGTCTTGAGCTATCCCCAAAATATTTGTATTTTGCAGGGAACATGAAAATTAGGCTATATTCAGGTTGGCTGTCTTTTGTTCCATTCAGCCTCAGGATTAAATAAACGTGCACTTGTTTGTTCCCACTCCTGCTTGATATGTAAAGCAGATCAAAATAGGTGGATAGATTTCTGCTTTAATTTTTTTTTTCCTAAATAACTCTCTGTATATTGTTTACATGATAAAAAATTAACTTAAAAACAACAACAGAAACAAAAAAAAAAAACCCTAAAAATCATCACGTACAAGGAATGGACTGAAAATGAATGAAGCAGCAGCCAATAGCTGAAGACACTAAAACATTTCAACACAGAGCTATTTCAGCTATTTTATATATTATCAAAGATTTTCACATTACACAGTAACATCAGTTGTTTGTATTTCTTTTTCAATTAGTATTAATACTCTAAAAACAAAACATTTCCAAATTTTATATATTTAAAAGATTAAACAGACATTTACAGTTTCATTAACACTGTTTAAAAGCCTGGTTGAACTGTTAGACACGTGACTACTGAACAAGGTCCCAGTATATGTGCGGTGCACTTAAGGAACCTGTGGGCTGTTCATAACTTTCCTCCACTGCTGACACAGCAGGTGATGAAGAACCAGCAGCATCATAAAGGTGATCCCTGGACTCTTTATAAATGCCTTTGTGACAGAAAAATGGAGCACAAAAAATGCACAAAATAAAGAAAAATTACTCAAAAGTCACATTTCAAACAGCTTAAACTCAAAATGATACATATCAAAACAATGTTGATGTTTAAAAATAACTACCATCGTTAACTGGTGTTCCTGCACATTGATCTTCACATATATAATCAGAAATGTTGTTGAACTGTGTTTAATTTGAGTACCTATGTAAAGGAAGAACAAAAAACAGAGTAGCAACAGATGCTCACCAAGGATTTTTTTAACAGCGGTCGGCTGTTTGAGAGCCTCTCGTATTCTGTTGTCATATCTAAAACATCTCAGCATGAAGAACAGAGCTAAACACAGCTGGAGGATGAAGATCAACACACACAGCACGATGACAATGTTGTTTACTGTTGAGGATAAAAAGGAGGGAAGAGGTACAAAAAGGCTTTAACAAATCAGACTGACAGAACAGGAATAAAACTTGGACCATTGTTTCTTTATAATTATTATGAATTACCATTGATTACTTTCATAAATACAATGTACAGACAAATGAGGCGTAGCTTCATTCAACGTGAACTAATTATTGGATAAGATAAAAGATAATGCCTACATTTAGTGTTCAAAGAGGCACAAAGTCATTATTGATACTTTCATAGTTTTCTAGGGTGGGCCTAAGAGTACAAATGCACTGTTGAATAAAACAGTGCAAACAAAATCTCATTTTTCTATTTGTTTTCTGAAGTTGTAGTAGTTGTACAGAATCAGGACTCTTTTGCATTGGAAATATTATAGTACCAGCTGATTGTTGTGCTGTGGACTCCAAGTGGATGACCTCTGGTTGAGAAAAGACCAGAGACTGGTTCTGGTTCTGAAGGAGCCCCATCAGGCAGATCTTATTGCTCCAGGAGATTTGCTGTGAAGGCAAAACGACGGGCATTTGGATTTTGATCAGCTGGGCTTGGAATTTTATTCCAGCTTGTCATTGAAAAAAAGTTAAATTAAAAGCTCGAGTTACTTGTGTTTGTGAGCTGTGTATAACTAAATAAAGGAAAGCTCAGTATCCGTTCAGTATACGTCCTTTCAACTAATCGCTGGCTTTTTAACTTTTCAAAATGCAATTTAAAACTTGCTTGGGAAGGCACGATGTGATCAAAAATGATTCCTTTGATTTTCTTTAATACAGATTTTTCCAGTTTTTATAGATGTCATTTGCATACTTTGGTACCAACTGGCTCATGGCATTGTCTATTGTCTACTCTGCATGATGAAACAAAAAAAAAAGTTAAGAAACAACCTGAGCACATGGAGTTCTTATGCAAAGACATCCTAGTAAACTACAACTTCAGTGAAAAAACTTATTGTCTATCGATCAACCATTTCCTGAATTTTATAGTGCTGATGATGTCGTGTCTGACGTCATTGGGCTAGTCTGTTTTTATGTAGGAATGTCTTTTTTGCTTTTATTAGGAATTCAGATGTTATTTACTAAGATCGTTTACCCTCATAGAGAGCCACTGAGGCACGTAAAAGAGCTCATCATGGTTCAGTCAATGTTTGATAATCTGATAATGATTTGTTGTAGGTCTAGCAGTTAGTTACTAGTTAGTTAGGTTTGAAGCAAACACAATTTGAGCGTTGCTTCAGATGAGCACAGTTTGGTTTAGTGGTATGCAATACTGCAAAATTTGGTATTGATCCATTGCCATGTAATTACAGGACCATTATCACAGATGTTTAGTGTTTTCAGTGGGAGAAACGTTTTGTCACTCATCCAAGTGACTGCTTCAGTCTCAGCTGACTGCAGGTTTCCCCAATCTCATAAACAGTACATTTGCATTTCAATGACTGAAACCAGCCCACTGAAGGAACAATGGGCTGTGAGGTCATTTCCTTGATCATAAATATGCAAATTGTCATGACCATTGATCAATAACCACTGATCAAAGACCATTGGTCATTGATCAGTGGCCATGAGTACCATTCACAGAGAATTGGGAAATGGCTGCAGTCGCAGCATTGTAAGATGGTGACAGATGTACCCTTAGGCCCCCTCCTTCTTGACTCCCCACATCAGACCAGTCCTAAATCCCTGTCCAGGATTAAATGAGAGTCCACTGGCCTGTAGGTGTGAGTAGATAGTTTGAGTCCCGGCCTGACGAGGTAGCTCTTCTGTGTTGTGCCATCCGCTTAGTCAGAGGTTCTTTGGTTTCCCCGATGTATAAATCCTGGCAATAATCCTGGCACTTAACAGCGTACACTATGTTACTCTGTTTGTGTTGGGGGACCCAATCCTTGGGGTGGACCAATTTTTGGTCCACCCCAAGGATCGCAGCGCAGCGCAATTTGGGGTTTAAAAGCTTCAGAGACGCTGTGTTTTCGAGAAAATTCGTCTCAACTGTTCCGATACTCCTGAGACATCAAACGTTTCTCCCACTGAAAACGCAACGTCCAGATAAACTGAATCAACTTTTTGGGATAACAGCGGCTTATTTGTTATAAGTTTTGAAGTATCTATCCTCAATATGCTTCTTCTGAATACACCTACATGTCTTTAAATTTTAATTCCACTATTAGTGTGTTTTGTTGTGTTACTTAATAAAACCAAACACAGCTTTCACAGTTTTTACACAAATTTTACAACTGGCACTTTCACAGACCTACAATGTAACGACTTGACCTAAGTGTCAACACAAAAGTATCCTTGTATTCAGACATTTTCATTCATGATTGAGCAAATTAATGAACCTAGAGGAGAAAATCAAACTAAAGCATTGATCCTGTCTCGCTAGTATCGAGCTGATAACAATACCAACATTGGTATCAATACTATGGATATTTAAACTGAGCAGCCCACAGCTGGTGGGGCTGTGCTGTCTATAAATAAGCCTGTAAATCAAATGCTCCTCTCTGGGAAAACAAAATGCCCGATGACATATGTATGTGGCATGTTTTTATCTGTTTAAGATTCTGACTATGATCCTAGGTGCACCTTCTAATGCTGCTGAAGGTGTACCTAGGATGCACCTATCACAGAAGTAATAATGTGATAGTCCAACACAGCGGTTAAAAATGAGGTTTAAAGTCTTACTTTAACATGTTAAAGTGTTGCTGAAGATTATATGGTACAGTACAGGCAGCGACAGTCTTGACAGCAAGGTGCTAAACATCACTGCTGATTATCTTTTGGCTGCTTTAATTTGTATATTTAATCTGTGCTGCGGGAAGAAAGGGGCAGCTTTGATTGTGTAGCTTCGCACAGGCAAAAAATGTAAAAACTGCGGCACTTTAAATAATTCACTTTTCAGTAGAGGGCATAATAACAGTCACCCAGTTAGCATGGATAGATGGATAGAGGGCATTCCCTGCTACTAAAGATGTTTACGTTTAATATAGTTCTGCAGACAACCTCTATAAACAACTTACTAAAACTAAAACTGTTAGTAATATGGTGTTGTACAGGACACTGGGATCTTGATAAGGAGCTACAACATTTTTACTCTACAATGAAATCTGCAATCCTAGTCCCTTATCTTATCAACTAACAAAGTTAACCAGCTCTTATGTAATTAACAAATAAGCGCCCAACTGAGCTCTAAATAGTACAAAGTTAAACTCCACAAAATAGTTTTTTATTTCTGTATAATAATTGATCATTCCTGAATACACATAGTTGCATTTATTCGACATTGAACTACACATATAAAAACACTTGCCAAGTTTAACAACCAGTGTAGAATACTAAAGCTGTTTTCACAGCTGCGCTGGCATCTCAGAGCACTGTTTGAAGTCTGCAAATACAGCAAAAACATTACCAGTTTTCGATTTTTATTAAAAGAAAAGTCAAAAAGAAAGCGCATTAATGTACTGACCTTACATCCACTGCTTCTCGCCGCTTGTCCGAATTAATTTTTGGGTTTCACTGCAGCACAGAATCCACTGAAATCCCCTCATTAAGGTTCCTCAGAAGTTCTCTCCCCTGCTGTTTGCTCATACAGCTGAGTGTTCGCTCTGAAAATACCTTTCTCTTATGCAGCTTCAGACGGCATGTGGACATGACAGAGAAAATAAATGAAAAGCTTGTGTTTGAAACACTGAGGATGAAGGCCTCTGATCTGAGCAGCGTTTGCAATAAGTAAGCTATCCGGAGGACTTTGTTCGGCAGGATCTAACTTCCATGGCTCAGCACTGTTTCTGAGTTGTCGTGCATTGTAAATACTGGATCAGAAAGCACTTTGACACGTGACATTTTCAACACAGTTGGATAACACGGGCATCATATCAACCTCTCACTATTTACCACTCTGCAGTTAGGATTAACTTAATAGTGCATATATAAAGATCCAGAAGACCAGTAGGCATTTCCCTACACAGTGCAAGATCAACTTGGAAGCAATAGTAAAGATTAACTCATTAACCAGTGTTGGCAGTTTGTGTCAGTAATTTAAACTTCATTGTGATCTGTGGTGTAGAAAATAATGGCCAAAACACTATTCTCTTACCCAGAGAGTGATGCACGTTATTTTTATTTAGTGATGTTTTAAAATTTAAACAAATAAAAGCTGAAATGTTTCATCTTTTGTGCCTATTTTATATAAAGAGTTGGTCAAATTACATATATACAGTGGTCCCTCGCTGTAACGCAGTTCACCTTTCGTGGCCTTGCTGTTTTGCGGATTTTTTTGTGCAATATTCCATGTTTTTTTGTTTGCTAGTTTAGTTTTTTTAGTTTTGTTTTTTTACATCCTGATTGGCTGTAGACCATTGTCAATCAATCTCATGCCGTGTCTCCTGTACAGTACAGAATGTGTTCAGCTTGTTAAATTTACATAAATCTTTTGCTAGCAGTGTGACTCTGAAGGGCTGCTCTGTATGTTTGTAGGTTTTCTCCCCAACAAACACAACAATGTCGATGAAACGTTTTGCACCGTCAAAAGCAACCGCGGGTGCCTTTGGTGTCATTCTACAGTATAGTACTGGACTTATTTGAAGGCTTGAGCTCTGAGAGTGTTTAAAAGAGAGAGAAAGGTGTGAAAATGTTTATGCATGTCTGAGAAAAGTGTATAAAGTGTGCCATGAGGAGGTTTACAGCCTGAAAACATCTATAATAGTTGTAAAAAAATTAAGTTGGCTACTTCGCGGATTTCACCTATCGCGGGTTATTTTTAGAACATAACCCCCGCGATAAACGAGGGACCACTGTATTGTAAAAAGGCATAATTTGTAGAAGCTACCCTAATGCAGACTTACCTGTACTTTCTTATTTTTCTATTACGAGTTTGAGCATCTTTAGGCTAATTGGTCAGGTTTGTTGTTTTGGTTTACTTTTATCAACCTGGTTCTTTGCAACAGCCAGCAAGAACAGCTTTTGCTCTTGCGTCCTTCTACAGTTTGTCACAGTCTAGCTGAGAAGCTGACTGTGTGGAGTGAGGAGGAGGACCCGAGTACAAACATGAAAAACAAATCTTTAATCTATCTAAGAACAAGCCGTTTATTCAAGGCCGGAAAACATTACAAGAGGCAAAGGCGAAACTAAACAATAACCTAAACTTGGTGACCTAAGATTAAAACATAAAAACAAACCTAGAAACATGACATAGCATGAACATAGCAAACGACCCAAAGAAATGAATGAAAACACACAGACTAAATGCACACAGGAAGTGAGCAGGGGAAGTGGAAACACATGGGGAAACAGCTGATTAGAAAGAACATAATGACATCAGGGGCCTGTTCTTCGTACGTCGCTTACTACATCCAAGATCAAATGACACATCCAAGACCAAACCATCGCGCTAACCGTGAGCTCGCTAATCCGGTTCCCCGAACACACCTGCTGTTGACGATTAGTACAGCTGGACGCAGTAATGTGACATCACTGGGTGTCGTAAAAGGGGCTACGCATCGATAGTAGAAACATTGATCGGCAACCCGCTGATTGGTCGGCGAAAATGTCGAAGGGGCGTGCTCGGTATTTTCCGGCAGCAGAGCAAGAACTCATGAGTGAGGGATTTCAGGAGTTTCAGAGTTTAATTAAAACGCAAGAGAACACTGCAAAGGCTGCAAAAGCAAGGAGAGAGGGCTGGCAGAAAGTTGCTGACAAATCAAACTCGTAGGTAATTTAATAATAATAATAATAATGGATTGGGTTTATATAGCGCTTTCCAAGGCACCCAAAGCGCTTTACGATACCACTATTCATTCACTCCCACATTCACACACTGGTGGAGGCAGCTACGGTTGTAGCCAGGCTGCCATATCGCGCCATCGGCCCCTCTGGCCAACACCAGTAGGCGGTAGGGTAGATCTATCATATGACACTATATTGTCCAATATCATATGGCATTATATTATATCATAATATGTTATATTATATCCCCTTTCACATTAGAGCCACAACAGGACCCACAAGAACATGGGAACAAGTAAAAGTGGAATACAGGAGTATTCTACAGAATGGTAATATTTATCTCTTAGATTGCTTTTCGTCTCTTGGCAAGGTAATACTGGCCTGTAATACTCTGTTAGTTTGTTCATAACAGCAACCAAGAAAAGGGCAGAGGAAAAAAAGACAGGTGGTGGTCCTGCACCCCCTCGTCAACAAGTTGGTTAAGTAAATAATACCCTCACGGGAATATCGATATCTCTCAATGAGCACACTGTCGCGCTGAGCTAAAGGATCCTGTCTATCCCGCAATATACGCTGAATTCTGAGGACTCTCCTTATCAATCTTGCACCTTCCGCAATGGGTTGCTCGCGTATACGGACAGGACATGGCTGCGACAGGCTTCCCAAATCCACCTTCGCTTTTATAGCCGTGGTCTCTCATCTTGATTACACGAAGTAATTTACAATTACTACTCTGAAATATGAATTACATCTGTAATAATCACATACATGTAATAGAATGTTAATAGTTCATTTCCCTTTTTTAGGAAATGACCTGTATGTATCTGTGTGACATCAATACAAGGATCAGGTGCTGCATTATCTTTAGTTACATTGATGTTATTTATTTATGGTGAAACAGTGGTGGAATATCGCTGTTGCTTTCGTATAAATGAAGCGGACATACCTGCGTGGCCGCGATCTAATCCTGTTTACATAAAGTAAACCTGCTCCCGAGCAGGTTTACGCTTACGGCTCTGTTGCTATGACAGCAAGTCCCGGATGAGCTTCGGGGAACCGAACGATCCAGGATCACGCGAAATCGTCAACAATCTAATCCAGCTAACTTACTTAGGGAGGTACGAAGAACAGGCCCCTGAGGGAAAAATAAACTTAAACCTCACTGAATATAGAAACACAAGACTTTCAAAATAAAACAGGAAACATGGAGAGACAGGACAACACAAGCTTGACAATGACATGACAGACTAGACAAGAAACAAGACACAAAAGCCAAGGAGACAGATGATAGTAATGGCTAAACTAAAACTCCACTAGACCCCAAATAAGACTAACACAATAACTTATAATCACAAACTTTACATAAGAAACTCAAAAATACAGAATAAACTCAAAACGCCAGGTCAGAAACATGACACAATTCTTGCTAGCATGCTTTAAGCAAGCGAAGTTGTTGCAGTCTAAAACTACAAGATGAATCTGAGGGGTGTACTACAATAATGGGTTGAGCCATCTCTGTGTCTTGAAAGTGGTGCTTTACTGGCCAAGTAATACAAGAAACTGGGGTCCAGACAATAACCACATATGGAGCATATTATTGGAATAATATGTGCAGATATGAAATCAGCACCAACTGAACAATCAGTTCTCTGGAAAATAACACTACTAATCCTGTTGGTCTTCTAAGCACGGATGGTAGGAGGGTCTAAAGTTTTTCTGATCATCAATTTTAGGGTAAGTGAATCCAGATACAGGAAAACTGCCCTCAGTATACTGAACTTGCTTCATACTACAAAGCCTGGGTTATGTGTTTAACAGAAAACTCAGACTTTAAGCTTGACTTAGCTTTCTGACCCATGCACTTTGCTTTTTATTACAAGTATCTGTCTTGTTGATTAATATCAGGCCAAATATTTAAAGATTGTGACGATTTCTTCATTATTAAGACTTGTACGTCTAAATTTGAAGCATGTTATCTGCAAAAACATGACGGGCTCATCAATAATGTATTGTTTACATAATGACAGAAGAATCATCTAACAGAAGAAATTTAATAGAAAGTTGATTAGTGCTTGGTAGGAGCCATATAATCCCATCCTGGGGACTGTTTAGGACGCAATGCAAACTTTTTTGTTCATGTCTTCCAGCAACGGTCTTCCTGGAGTTCTGGAAGAGACGCAGAGCTGTCCTCGCATATGACTGGGACCTCATTGACTGGGAAGAAGAGGAGGTAAAAGTCCTGTAGCTTATCTGCTCCCTTTAACATAAATAAATAGTATGAAAAGAAATTAGGAGGGAAAAGATAGTCAATTATATTTCTAGTTATTTCTTTTTTTCTTGAACAAGCACTTCTTCCCTGAAGAAATGTTGGCCTACTCATACCCTTTTCAGTCCATGTCAATCTCAAAGCATATATTTAAAAAGGTGGAGATGGTGTACTAAGGGCCTGTGTCAAGTCTGTCTCAGTTCATTTTATGAGTCACTGAAAATCTGCAGCTCTACAATGAAAGCACGAACAAACTAAAGACCCACACAGCTGTCATAATGTAATTTCTGTGGGTTTTTATGTTCTCTCCTGTCTTGTGTATCAACCTCCAACCATCATCTGTCAATCACATAATAGATAGTGAATGTGTTCTTTGAAGGCTGCTCTTCTTTCGATGTAAATGTGATTCAGAATTTCAATCTGCTTTGTACGTAACGTGAGAAGACAGGCTTTTGGTCAGAGCTTGAGGATATAAGGGTGGTTTGCAGCCACTTGGTTGTGCCTCTACACTGTCCCAGCTTGGCTATTATATCCTGTTGCTATGTGTCAGGCACCTTTGGACACAGCCTGCAGTTTGAGTCCTGTTGGCTGTGCTAGACTCTTGCCCAAATAGATCTGGTGCTTAGGGCCGGTTCTTGTGCTGCCATAATCAGAACCTCTGTGGCCTTTTCTAGCCGCTGGTAGGATTTCTTGACGTCAGAGACTTCCTCTATCTGTTGGTGGTACATCCCATGATACCCATGATCTGTGCTTTACACAGTTCGTATTAAATATTTGTGCTGATACCCTGAAGAAGAAGCTTTCTCCGTGGTAACCCTTTTAAAAAAAGTAGTACTTGTTCAGTCTTTTTCTAATTGCATTGACATGTCATGTCATTTATCCCACTAACTGAAGTCTGTTGAGTCCTTACGCTTTCCACTTCTGTGAAGATTGTGTTAATACATACCTCATACTGCCTGTGACTTGCACCCTCAACTATGCAATCCTGTGAAAAACTTCTCAGCAGAAATGGCTGCTAACTAGTAGCTAAATGTGTGCTTTCTTACTGCAGTTTATGCTCATATGTGTAGTCTGTTATCTTTCAGGAAGAAATACGCCCGCAGTTTGAGGCCAAATACTCAAAGAAGGAGAGGATGAACCCTATATCTGGAAAACCTGAACCTTACCAGGCCTTCTCTGACAAATACAGTCGCCTCATCGTTTCCACATCTGGAATATTCTTTATGGTGAGTTTCTGGAGCAAGTGAGCATTAAGTAAAAGATGTGTTACTAAATGTGTCAACTGCTTTTTGTCTGCAATTACAATTTCCATTGTTCCATCTAAAACTAGACCTCTCAGTTTATAGACTGAAAAATTCAGTTATCATATATACATTCATATGTATTTACAGTTGAAATGTTCTCTTTTTCTTGTCACTGTCACGTCACAGATATTGGTGGTGATTGCTGCCGTGTTTGGCATCGTCATTTACCGAGTTATCACTGTCAGTACCTTCGCTGCCTTCGGCTGGGCTCTCATCAGGAACAACTCTCAGGTGGCGACCACGGGCACGGCAGTCTGCATCAACTTTTGCATCATCATGCTCCTTAACGTGGTAAGTTTCTGCTGTTTTTCGACTGCACTGTGCAGAAGTAGAGCAATGACGAAATAGTTAATGCATTTATTTCAGGTGTGATAAATACTGTTTTAAATGTAACGGCTAATTCATGCATTGTATGAATAGTTACACGGATACATATAAGATTATCATTATCATTATTTTGATAGCTTTCTAACGCTTTTAACAGTATTTTTAGACAATAAATTTACTGTATGGAACTTAAATGTAAAGCCTTGAGAAATACATTTAATTTCACCCTTTTTTACAGCTTTATGAAAAAGTTGCTCTGCTTCTTACCAATTTAGGTAAGCTGGTGACACACAATTTTGCAATTTCTTTTTGTATGAATAATGTTACGATATTCTTAAAATGAACTCCTTCTTTCTGTTTAACCACAGAGCAACCGAGGACAGAGTCTGAGTGGGAGAACAGCTTTACTTTCAAGATGTTTCTTTTTCAGTTTGTCAATCTTAACAGTTCAACTTTCTACATCGCCTTCTTTTTGGGAAGGTGAGTAAGTCACAGGCAATTTACAAATACAGGACAGGACCAGTATTAGTTGAATCATGTAACCAGTTTCACACAAATATACGTAGCTGAGTTCCTATTACTTATTCTTACACTGGCTAGTTGCCTTGTTTAGCAAAGGGGCCTGTATATTTTACTGTGATATTAAAGTCATACATAATTAGGGAATATCCAAAAGTCTTAAACAAAATATACTGAATCCTTTAGTACAGCTGACCTATAAGAAAGCAATCACCTGTCATGGTTTGCCTCCACCAGTGTGTGAATGTGAGAGTGAATGAATAGTGGAATTGTAAAGCGCTTTGAGTGTCTAGGAAGGCGCTATATAAATGCAATCCATTATTATTATTTAAATCAGAATAGCCTTAATACATTTTAAAGAGATGTTGTTTTTTTTTTT